AGAAACATTCAGTTAATCGGGTGATGAAAAATGACTCTGAACAGGCGAAAATACTGAGAAATTGAAAAGGAACAATTCAGAAGCCGGACCATAGGGGCCCTTCCACCGCAGGCACAGGGGCAGTAAAATATGGCCATTCCAAGACAAAAACATTTTTTGTTATATCTACCTGCAGCAGAGAGGGATTTTTTAAGCTTGGTAAGGTTTTTAAGAATCCCCCAAGGGCCAAAAAGAACAAAGGCCCAGTGATGTAGTACCACAGCTGGACTCTTCTTGAAAAAGCGCAGTGAACGTGCTGGACAGAGATGGTGCCCCCCTCAGCCAGAGACCCTGTCCTCTCTCACGGGTCCCTGTGGTGGCCTCATTTACTAACGGCCAACATCAGAGGCATCACATTCGACTTTTTAAACTGAAGGCCGAAAGATGGAGGCGAAAGCTCGAACCCAGAACAGTTTCCGAGCTTTTCCACTCAATGTTGGAGTGACAAAACAAACTCAAAACAACACGATTGAGGAGATGTCACTCGACTGCAGAAATCGGGGGGGGGAGGGGGGTGGGAGAGCAATGCGGGAAAAAAACACGGCCTCGGATCTTCCCTACTCCCTCCTGGGAGAACGGGAGACAAAACAAACTGCACACACGACGTGATGACGACACCAACTCCGACTTGGACACTGGTGAGACATCCTGCTCAGACATCCTGCTGGGAAAGAAGGGTCAGAAGCAGGAGGCTCCTGTGTGGAGGAGCACAGGACACCCCATGAGCCAGGGCCTGCACCCTCGACTTCAGGCAGCGCTTGTGGAAGCATGCGGAAAAGATTAGCGAAAGGAGCTGCGGTTTTTTAAGGGTATCCTATGCCTAGATAAATGCCTCCCCCACTTTCCTGTGCCCTGCTGCTCTCCTGCAGTGATATTCCAGGAGGTTTCAGACCAGCAGCAGATCGCGGGTCCTAGGATCAACTTTCTCTTTACATTTTTAGATTAAAAATACACGCGCATGCCAAAGACAAATCTTCAAGAAGTCGCCTCATTTCTCTCTTCCTTGTTTTTCCAGGGCGACCATAATGTTTATTCTTCCCATTGCTGATTATTTGAAAACCTAAAAAACTGCAAAAGCTGGAAAACCTGGGTATCGTGGTCTTTAGGACTAACCGTGTACTAAAAACAATTTGTGCAAAAGGAAAGGAATCACAACATGCTCGGGATCTAAGATTTAGATCAAGTGTTTAAATGCATTTTGAAAATCCTTGTGCACTGAAACTATTTTACACAGACACCGGATGCAGTAAACTCTATTGTGTAAGCCCTTGTCTAGTCTAAAGAACAAGCTTTAACAAAACTATTAGATTTAATTCCTGTGGTCTTCTCTAGGATTACTGTAATTTTCATAATCAAGTCATTCATTTCAAGCCTTCAATTCTTCCCCGCAAGCAAGAATTCTAACGCAGAGACACAAAAAGATTTATTGACTTTGTTGTTGGAGTAGGAGGGGACACAGAGGGATCAGGTTTAGTGTTTGTGAAGACATCTAAAATTACCAAGCCCTTTAAGGGTTTTCAAGTATTGGGCAAGTTGTCATTTTTGGAGAAGTTTTATTTTTTAAATGAATTCTGCACATTTCTTTAGCAGGAAGGTTCCATCTTCATCTCATGTGCTCCTACTGTCCACAGATTCAGGGGAGTAAATCCACGTTTCTGGATGTATAACCTACATCGTCCCCTTAAAGAAGACCACATACAGCCACTCTGAAAAAGAGCTCTGCTGGAACAGCGCAGGCACGATGGGTTGCAAATTCAAGAGACAGTGGCGAACCCGTTAAATTTGATCAATCCTTACAGAATCTCAGCTTCAACCTCAACACCCCAGCATCTCCAGTTTCTAGCAGATCCAGTTAACTAAAGAATAAACAATTTAAGATTAAAGGATTTTTTTCAATAATACAAATCCCACACACCCTTTCCTTCAAGGAACATGCTCAGACTTTCAGACAGAGGGCCCCTGAGTCTGAACCACAGCCGAAATTCCAAGCTGCTGTACAGCAAAGCTGGGGGCAGCAGACAGTGGAGCAGGAGACGGGAGACAGTCAGAGCATCATGGAGCAAAGGGTGCTGGATACTGTTAAGACAGTTTGCAAATTCAACTAGATACAGTCCCTCCCGTCTCACTGTAATTAAGACTGTGAAAAAAATGCTCATGTTTTATTTTAAGTAAAAGTTTTCCCTCTGTAAAAATGCAGCCCAATCAAATTGTGATTTTATATGAGAAGATTTTCAATGAAGGAATATTTATATTTCCATTTATCTTCTGTATCCATCCAATTCCATACACACAGTAAATGAACACACATCACAGGGGACTCATTAATACAACCAGGGCTCAGTCTGAGCCGGTGCACTTAAAAGACAGTCCACTGAACACAGGCCTCTGCAGGAGAGATTAGAATTGAGGCAGACGCGTATCAATACATGCCTCTCCGAGAGTGATCAGAACCAGATCAATATGTGCCTCTCCGGGAGCGATCAGAACCAGATCAATACGTGACTCTCCGGGAGCGAACGGAATCTAGGAGGAACCGGATCAATAGGTGCCTTTCTGAGAGAGATCAGAATTGAGGCAGAACTGGATCAATAGGTGCCTCTCCAAGAGTGATCAGAACAGGATCAATATGTGCCTCTCCGAGAGCGATCAGAACCAGATCAATACATGGCCTCTCCAAGAGAGATCTGAATCGACGCAGAACCGGAATAATACATGCCTCTCTGAGAGAGATCAGAACCAGATCAATATGTGCCTCTCCGAGAGTCATCAGAACCAGATCAATATGTGCCTCTCCAAGAGTCATCAGAACCAGATCAATATGTGC